CTTGTTAGATGAGGATCTCCAAACCGTGCTCAATCATTCAGGCATTAGATCATTACTGAGTACCTACTGTTTGTTGGGTGCTGGGTGCTAGGGATACAACGAGAGAACAAGATAGTCCCTGCCCTAGACATGCTTCGTCTGGGGGATGGACAAGAAGACCCAGAATGACAGTGGGATAAATGCTGTGAGTTGAGAAGCATGGGATGGAGGTGTTACCACATTAGGAGGGAGTCCCAGAGGAGAGGACTGGGAGAGGCCAAGGTTTGGCACAGGTCACTTACCTGGTTTGCCATTTCTAAAGACAAGAGTCTTCTCACGACATCGTCAAACCTGTGGGAAAAGCATAGCTATGAGAGACAGGTGTGGGGGAGAGGGGACAAGGGAATCAGTGCTGGTTCCATTTTAGTTTGAAAAGCAAGAATGACTGAAAATTTCTTTTATAACAAAAGTGTCTCTGTGGAAGTGGGGAGCCATTTCTCAGGGATTAAAAGTCAGCCAGAATCTGATTTGCTGTGCTGAGAACATGGAATGATGTGATAACTGCACAAAATTGGGGCTGTCAGCTTGACTGTTCCAGGCTCCTCACTGGGAGGGCAAAGGGAGGATTTTCTTTCTTTCTTTCTAAGATTTTATTTATTTATTTGATAGAGACAGACACAGCGAGAGAGGGAACGCAAGCAAGGGGAGTGGGAGAGGGAGAAGCAGGCTTCCTACAGAGGAGGGAGCCCGATTTGGGGCTCGATCCCAGGACCCTGGGATCATGACCTGAGCTGAAGGCAGATGCTTAACGACTGAGCCACCCAGGCGCCCCCAAAGGGAGGATTTTCATTTCAGCTAGAATATGGTTCAGTCAGTCTGTCTTGAGACACTTCATTTTTTTTTTTTATAAAGATTTTATTTATTTATTTGACACAGAGAGAGAGCACAAGCAGGGGGAGCAGCAGGCGGAGGGAGAGGGAGAAGCAGGCTCCCTGCTGAGCAGGGAGTCCGATGCAGGGCTCTATCCCAGGACCCTGAGATCATGACCTGAGCCGAAGGCAGATGCTTAACAGACTGGGCCACCCAGGTGCCCCGAGACATTTCAATTCTATAATCATTGTTTTTTACCCCTATCACACGGTACGGTGGAAGGGACTGCCCAGCTCTTGCTGTATAGGGCAGGGGCTGAGCAGAAGGATCCTGGCTTTGGTGTCTTTCAGCCCTGTATGTTGCCTCCCTCTATCTGAACCACAGTAGAAAAAAAGGCAAGCAGTTGAGCTCCATGAACTCCATTCTGCCCCTGCTGCCCCTCATCAAGCCTGGGCTTCAGTAGTTCTCTGCCCGGTTGTATCATTAAGCTTCAGATACAGCGGGCCAGGCCTTGAAGCCACTGTCTTCCCTCTCTCCTCCCCAATCCTCTTAGGGCCCCCTGCCTCATCAAAGAGATTTCTTTCTGCTTACTTCTCAATTCCAGGAATGTTCTGGTAGTCTTTGAGCAGCGTGGAAGGGGGCGGGTCATCTTCTTGGCTGGGCTGGACTGTCAAGTGTAGGGACAAAAAAACACCCAGAGTCAACTCTCACTGCCCATCCTCCCTGTCCTGACTCTCTTCACCAACTCTGTCACAGACACCCAGGGCCTCAAGCAAGACACTAGAGATCTCTGGGCTCAGCCTCTCCTTTGCAAACCCTGCAGGCAACTGTCTTGATATTTCACACTGGGAGTAGATGACCTTTCCTAAGGTCCCATATTGTGCCTTTACCTCTCACACCACTTTAGATTCCCCACCAGAATGGGTCCTTTTGTGGATGGCCTGAGTTTGACTCTCTTTGAATCCCCTGGTCTGGTCTATGGCCTCATGTAAAACAGACACTCAACAAACACTTGCTGGCTGACGGCATGAATGAAATAAGGGGGCTGAGGAGGGCCCCGAGCTTTAGGACACAGGAAGCACCAAAGACCACATATAGGAAACTCTAAGCCTTGGTGTGTGTCATTCCCTGGGAGGTGAGAGAGAGGCACGAGGGAGATCAACTGGTCCTCTCCAGTCCGCCCCTGCTCTTCCGCTATGCAATCACAGCAGTAAATGCTAATATATACTTCATGTTTTGCACCCAGTGCTAAGAGTGCTCTCTTCACGTGTTAGCACTGAATCCTAACAACAATCCTTTCAAACAGATACTTTTATAATCGTTTTAGAATGAGACTGAGAGAAAGTAACTTGCCCAGTCTCATTTACCTAGGAAGAGAGATCTTCCCACCATGCAGACTGCCTTGGAATGGGAAACCAAGCCCTCCACCTCAGAAGGACACAAAGCGCCTACCTATACTCTAGGTAGACCTGGGTGGTGCCAGCACGCCCTCCCTCGGGCTAGCTCATTCTCACTCAAACCCCGTCCGCAGGCTCCTGCTCCGCACCAACCTCCCGCCCGCCCCGCCTCTCCCCCACGCCAAACAGGCTTCAGGCTACAGCCTGGTGGCAAGGCGGACGTGGGGGTCTTCTGCTCAGGCCCTCTGGCCTACGCGTCTGCCCACCCCATCAGGTGGTTCTAACTAGCCACCTCCTTCCCTTTGGCCACCCGGCGCCCCTCCAGGCAGTCCCTCTCCGCCTAAGTCCCACCCGAGAGCTCCTACCTGGTTTCTGGGTGGCATATCCGCGAACGGCCGGGAGGATGACACCTACGCAGAAGAGAGAGGGCTCAGGCCATCTCCTTAACTAGCCCAGCCTCCATTCCTTTCTATGGCCCCTGCACTACCCTTCCTGCATGGTCTTTGCGCCTCGGCGCCTAACCGCCGCCCCAGTTCTTCCGCACCCCGCTGCCCCACGCCTCTCCCACCTCGTCTTACTTCTTCCCTATCCACCGGCCTTTCTCCCTCATCCTGCCGCTGCTCTTCTCCCCTATCCTCGTCCCCCGTATCCGCCATCTCCGTTCAACCCCATTTCCCTCCTCGCGTTGCCCCGCTTCTCCGGGCCTCACCGCGAGGAGAGGGAAGGCCCCACTGGAGGGAGGGAGGCCTGGCACACGCTCCGCCCGGCAGCCCAAGGACTGGGGCCTGGGCCACTGCCTGGGTCCGAAGCGACCTCAGCGCCCTCCACGCCGTCCTCAGCATGGTGACTTGTGACCGCGCGGGGCCGGCGCCACGGCCGCCGTCCCTTTCGCGGCACGGACCGGATTACATGGGCGCCGCCATGCTGACTCAGGCTCGACCAATGGAGCGCAGTTGCGAGACCGGAGCAGATGAGGACCGAGACAATGGATTAGAAAGGCGAGACTCGGGGTGCGGCGGGATTGGGTTCAGGGGAGAGGTCTGGTTAGCAGCTGCGCAGGGCAGGAGGCTGGGTGGTTGCGGGCCTGGTTAGTGGTGTGCGGTGCTGTATAAATTCTAAGATGCCGTTTTTTCCTTGGGCATGCATCCCACCCTTAATCCCACTCTATGTTCCTGACCTTGAGCCCCGGTTATTTTGGAGGTTTTCTTAGGGCCTGCCTTAGTCTTCTCCCCCAACCTAGTCTTTCTACCTCCTCTCCCACCACATTCCAGGATGAGGCCCCGTAAGAGCTACTGGGTTTCGTTCAGCCTCCTCTCCGGCAGCCTTGTAAGCGTCGTGATGAAGGTCGTTTATTTTGGAATGAGACAGCTCTGGGCTGGAATTGAAGCTCAGCTGTTTACTCACTGTGATCCTGTGGGCAAACCACCCCACCTTTCTGGGCCACGGTGTACTCATTCATCAAACGGGAATGGGAATGGGAATAACAGTATCTACTCTTTAGGTTGTTGGGGTATTAACTGAGGCAGTTGTGTGCAAGGGACCTGCCTGCTATATAGTAGGCATTCAGTAAGTATTTGCTATGATAATATTTGTGAAATGAGGGGTGTAAAGACAACTACAAATTAAAAGCAGGAAAAATAAATTTTTAATGAAATAAAAATAACATTTTAATTCTCCCTTGGTGCAAAAAGGGAAAAAGCTCTCCTCCCCCTCACTTTTCTTAAAGCATTTACTTTTGAAAAGTTGTGATTGTGAATTATTCCTCTGTCCTTTTGAGACCTATGTAAATCTTTTCAAAAACTAAATAAGGCTCTTGCTGGTTTTACAGCACGGGAATGTTCTTCTCAAGGATCTAGGAGCCATCTCTTGAAATGTAATCATTAGGAAGACAGTGGCCCTGTCTCCCAGTTTCTGCCTGGCTCTAAGTTGCCAACCTGCCTCTTCTCATAAAGATATGAGAAATTTCGTTTTCTTTGGGATAAAGGCAATTAGCAAACACGGGTGGCTACCCCACTTACCGGGTGAATTTAGGATGAACTCTGTGTGACAGATGGTGCTGTAAAGTCCTTTTGCTTGAGGACTAGGTATTATTTATCTTGAGAAAATGCATGCAATAACCTGTATCCACTTGGCTATATACAAAGGTAAGATTTCTTTCTGTCTTTTCAAACTCTTTAGGGGATTGCTGGTGATGCACATCACATCACAGAGGGAGAGAACCTTGCTCTGGTTTGACGTTCATTCAGTACTAAAACTGATTTTGCCCTCTTCTACCCTCTTGGAGGGATTTTCTAGGTTGGCAGGAGATTTTATGTTTTTTACTATTTTATTTTTAAGCAATCTCTACACCCAACATGGCGCTCAAACTCACAACCCCGAGATCGAGAGTTGCATGCTCCACCCACTGAGCCAGTCAGGTGCCCCTGTAGATTTTGTTTTTAATTATATTTCTCCAACAGGGGTTAGTCTTTTCTGAGGTCTATTCCCCATGTTCCACAGCACTTTGTGACACCCCTCAACCCTGACCACTGTGCCCTATTGGCCAGTCTTCAAGTCTCTACCACTAGAGTGGGAGCCCTTTGAGGGTGGACTGAGCCAAATCATTTTTGAATCCCTGCTTCTAGCACAGAGCCTACATGCTAGGTGAGGGCTGGTGGAGTGAATGAGTGAAGGAAGGAGTACACAAATGAACACTTCTGATAAGTACCCCCGTCACTGCTAGGGCCCTGAAAAGAAAAAGAACAGAGGCAAAGGCACGCTCAAGAGTTTCTCAAAATCAAACCAAACCAAATCATGGATCAGTGGTTTAAGAGACTGAAATTACAGGAAATAAGCACAAGAGGCTAGTGGGCAGGGTTGGATGAAACATTCTCTGGCCACTCAAGTGAGAGGCCCAGCCTGTGGGCACTGGGGAGATAGAGGAAGGGTGCTGGGGGCCAGAGTTAGGGAGATCCCCGTACCCTTTCTGCCCTTCTGGGGCTAGGTGATTTTTTTCATGATGGGCTTACTGACACTCTCCTCTGGACAGCCCAGGCTTTTCAAGAGGCAGGCCCAGGAGGGGGTCCCAGGAAGCACTAGACGCCCCCTAGCCCCTCTACCCCATGGACTTGGAGCCCTTGCAGGAGGGGGAAGTCAAGCAATGGCCCGAAGACACAGTCATCCTCCTGGTTTGGGACGAGGGGCTCTGGGGTCCCCAGGGGGCTGGTCTGGAACCAGAGGTTCTCATAAAACTGGGGGCTGGGAGTAAGGCCCCCTAGGAGGGGCTGAGTAGAGTCACAGCGGAGGTAGTGCCCTGGACCTGGGCCTGTGGGGCTGCCCAGCACCTTCCCGTAAAGGACCTGGTCACTGGTGATAGACGAGGGCTGGGACTGGGTGGAAGGTGTTCTTGGGTCCCCCTGGAGCACATAGGCCTGGACCAGGGTGGGCAGGCCACAGGTCCCTGAGCTGTCATTGGACTCCCAGGGCCCTGGCTTCTTCTCTTCTTCCTCCAGCACCGTGATCTTGGTGATGGGTGGCATGCCGGAGTCCCGAAGGCTGGGCAGCTGGAAGGTCTCCTGGACACAAGGACGTAGGGTGAAGGCATGATTCATCTCAGATGTTCATCCCAACCACCGCCCCTTCCTGTGTTGGGACAGTTGTGGGGCTATTCCTCCTGCTCTCTGCTGGAACCCAAAGGATGACACTTGTAAAGCGCCTCATACTTTCCTGACATGTGCTGTGTGCTTCAGACTTAGCTTGGTGAATGTCCCCAGCGATTCTGTGTGAGATACGTCCCATTTCACAGTGAGATGGCCGAGGCTTTGAAATGGGTAGAGCTGGGATTCAAACTCAGATCTGCTTTCCTCCAGAGGGAGGGGACCTTGCTAGGAAGTGATGGGAAGGCCTGAGTCCTCATCCTCGGAGGAGTATCCTTTCACTTTGAGCCTGGACCAGCGCCCCCAGCCCCATTTCCCTCTCCCTCTGGGGTTCTCACCTCCACCATGATGGTAGGCACCCAGGAGCCCAGGCTGCTGTGGGCTGGGTCTGGGACACTTGGCCAGAGGGGATTCTTCCTGCTGCAGAAGAGGGCAGGTGAAGGCTGGGTCAGGCATGCCCTCCCATCTTTCCATTCTTTCTCCCACCCACTCCCAGCAGCTGAAGGCCCCTTGGGCAGAGAAGAGTTGGTGCAGGGCCTGATCCAGACATGGGCCCTGAGGCCTGAGAAGGGGAAGAGGGACTTGGATTGGCCCACTCCAGCCTGCAGTTCCCTGTGGGCAGGGGTAGTTAAGTGTCAGGTCTCTTGAAAGGACTCACCTGGGTCTGCAGCAGAACCGGGCCGCCCCACAGAGGCAGGTGAACAAAAGCAGGAAACCAAACAAGCCCAGGAGGACATGCAGCTCAGACTCCTCTGGGGTGAGGGGAAAGCCAGAAGAGGTTAGAGTGCATTCGAGTAAGACTGGGTCTCTTCCCTCAGATTAGGCTCTGAGGGCAGGATTGGGCCGCCTCCCTCAGGCTGAGCTTCATGGGCAGGGCTGGGTCTTCTCCCTCAGACCAGTGGATCCAGGCAAAGCCTCCAAATGAAAGATCCATTGGGTGAGGAACCTTCCCAGCAGCCTTGTCTGGCCAGCCTGCTTCTGCTCTTACCTAGGGCCAAGGTCATCAGGGTAAGGCTTGTACTGTTGGCGGCCCCGGCCTTGCTGGTAGCCATGAGGTGGACATGGTACAAGCTGGCAGGCTCCAAGCCGCGGAGGACCAAGCCGTGGGAGGAGGCATTCAGGACAATGGCTGGGAGTGCAAGAGAATGGTCAGCCTGGGCCCAGATGCCGAGGCTCCCTCCGAGGCTGCTGAGTGCCCCCCACCCCGTGTCCCCCCTCCCAGGCCTTCTGGGGCCATGGGGTGCTGAGGAGAGACTCACAGAAGGACTGGTCCTGAGCATTGGTCCAGAAGACGGTGTAGTGGGTAAGGGGGCTCTTCCCCAGCTCGGGGGCCTGGGGCACCCACTCCAGCTGGGCCCAGGTCTTGCCAATGTGCTTTAGATGCAGCTCTGGGGCGTGGGAGGGGGCTGCCGGAAGAGAGAGGTACAGGGGCTGATGCGGAGCAGGACAGAGTGGAGAGACATCTTGTGGCTCCCCAGATGCCAGAACTGAGACACGCTGTGGTGGGGAGTAAGGAAAGAGAGTCCAAGGGGACTCGTGCCTTAAGCCTCATGTTGCCAGGACCTTCGACTGAATTCCATCGACTGCTAAAAAATGGCTGAGTCGGGATCTGAACTTGCTTCTCTTTGATTCCAGAGCCTTGCCACCTGATTTCTGCCAGGCTTGATTTTGTTGGGCTCACTGTCTGATTTCTGCCGCTTGCTCTCTGACTTTATGCCAGTCCCTCTGTCTAATTTCTGCCACACATGACACTTGATTTCTGTCAGGGCAGTTGATCGATTTTTGCCAGACTTGCTTCCCGAATTCTGCCAAACCCACTCCCTAATTTCTGTCACCCCACCACCTGACTTCTGTCTGGTTGCAGGGGTCCAGTGTAAGCCAGGGGTAATCTTGGGGTTGGGAGAGAGCCTCTTCTGGGCCAGCAGTGGGGGAGGGAGGAAATGTTCCTTCATCGTCCTGAGTGTTGGGGCCCAGGAAGGCACTGAGAGGAGAGGATTCTGGGAGGGGCCAGGTGGCTGACGCACCCATCTCTTGGGAGTAGGCATAGATGTGCTGGGAGGGTCCCATGGTGTCCTGGTAGAGGGGGGTCACAGTGATCTCGTAGAGCTGGAAGGGCCTGATGTTCTCTGTAGAGAGAAGATGGGGCAGGCCCCCTGGTGAGGGGCTGACCTCTGCAGATGATCATGAGCTAACCTCAGACCTCCAGCTGGGGATAACCCAGGCCTCACGCTGCAGAGCTAACCTCTTCTATCTCTTCTTCTGATCATTTGATGGGGGGTAAGGGCAGAAAAGTGGGAAAGCTAGAAAAGTGGCAGGGTCAGGGCTGTGAAAAGAGAGTCCGGTTAGACTGGGAGAAGAATGTCCTGATTCTGGGGATAGGAAATGACAGTAAAGAGTCTAGAAAGACTGGGGAGTCCACTTCTCTGGGGTGGTTCAGGCTGCCTTTGCCGTCAGACCTCACTGCCTCCCTGCTTCCCAGGCCCAGCCCGCCAACCCACCCC